ACCTAGAATCCCAGAAGATGCGCTTTCCTTGAAGGCGCCTCCTTCACTTGAAGCCACTTGCGCTGTCCAGGCAGGCGTCGGCAAGAGCAGGTATTGGTGCAAATTTGCTCGCAATGCTATCATGCGGCTGCAAGTGTTAAGGAGTCCCCAAATCACCTGGCCGTTCTTCCACAAGACTTTTCAACAGCAAGTCAAAGTTGCACCGGCATGAGCCGTCATCCTCATGCCAGGTCGACCTGACATTTTACAAGGCCGAGGGTCAGAATTGCAAAGCTCGTTTCCCTGCTGCAGCTACTCTGCAATCGTCGCTTCCTCTTCTCTTAGTAGTTGCCACCCCTACAACTACAGCGACAGTGCCGCTTCAGAAACAGTTTTGTTTAGGTGCAAGTGCCCTGAAGTTTCCAATTCTGGAGCACACGTTTTGGTGTCAAGGAGGAGTTTCCGGACTTGAGGGTGCCCTGGCGTTCACAACTTAACCCAACAGTCTTGAATTTCAAAGGCTCCAGAATCTGCCACTCAGAATGACACTTGGGCGTTGCATGCTGCTACTACTACTCCTGCTACTCGTGCTACTACTGCGACTACGACGACGACGACTTCTATTTCCACTACTTCCACTACTACTGCTGCTACTGCTACTGCTACTGCTACTGCTACTGCTACTGCTGCTGCTGCTACTACTACTACTACTAGTAGTACATGAAAAGCATCTAGAAAACAGGATCCGGATCGGGGCAGATGTCGCTGGGGGCTGACTTCCGACAGTCGTTGCCCCACTGCACTTCGCTGAACCTCGCCAATGACGTTGCTGAGACGACAGTATGTGAGACCACGTGTCTGTGTGATCTGCGGATTCCCTGTTAGTAGTGAGCAGTGTGTGCAATTAAGCCTGGGCATTGTACTGGTAGCGTATGCGGAACGTCTGTACGCGTTTGGTTGGTTGTTCAATGGCAGCCGTAGGTCACCTCAACGCTGTACTGGGCTCTATTGCACTGTAGCTGCTGCTGTAGTTTCGCCGCTGTTCTGTACTGTACTCCTCCTTGTAGAACTGCCTTGCAATGGGGTCGAAGCTAACTGAGACTTCACCCTCCACATAACATAGATCTGTGAAGCTCCCCACACAGTGGTTTGTGGATGCTGCTAGGTGACCTGGTTACGTAGTGCGGTGAGCTTCATAGTTCTATGTCGCCGAGTGAGACTTGTTGCCTGCAGCGCGGGTTCGCGAGAGTCCGACAAGTGGGAGCCAAAAAGTACTACTACTACTACTACTACTACTACTACTACTACTACTACTACTACGATGACCACATCAACAACAACTACTACTATATACTACTACTTCTGCTACTACTACTAATTACTAGTACTACCACCACCACTCCTACTACTACTGCACCACCACCACCACGACGACGACTACTACTACCACCACTCCTACTACTATTATTTCTACTGCTACTACAGCTACGACGACGACTACTACTACGACTACAACTACTACCACTACTACTACTACTACTGCTGCTGCTGCTACTACTACTACTACGACTACGACACACACAGTACTGCCTCTCCCGATGTTGAGGGCATGGGAAAAACACAGGTACCGGGAATGACCCCTGGGCCTACAGCTGCCGTTGAATCGACCAAGGCCCTCTCGACCAAAAGCCCAGCGACTGCTCTGCAGATGCCGACCCGAATACACCGTGCTGGACGGAGACGGCCCTGGTCTGAAGATGCCGTCTGTGACGATGACATTCTGGCTTGCGCTCTGATCCTTCAGCAACGTATTTCGACATGTAAAAGAGGGGGACCGCCGGAGCAACATTGCTCCGCAGGCATAGCCCTCTCGACCAAAGCCCGGCGACTGCTCTACAGATGCTGACCCAAATACCACATGCTGGACGGAAACGGCCCTGGTCTGAAGATGCCGTCGGCGACGATGACATTCTGGCTTGCGCTCTAATCCTTCAGCAACGTATTTTGACGTGTAAAACGAGGGGACCACCGCGGCAACATTGCCCCGCAGGCATACCCTCCTTCAAAGTGGAGAACGGCCCTGGTCTGAAGTTGCCGTTGGCGTGTGACGGTATCCCACTATGATATCGCAACAAAACCGTGCCAAAGCAAAGCTGAGCCTGCAGTGGACCGTACATGCTTTAAGCTACACTACGTTCCCGCCAGACCAGCTGATCAAAGCAAGGACATTGACTGTTGTTTGACCGCTGCTACGAACTTGTTGCTGCGCTGGAGTACCAGAGGTTGCTCAACCTTCCGAAATCTCGGGGGGAGAAGGCTGGACGGCTGCACTTCCCACGACTCCCTCTGGGTCGGTGGGGCCACCACAGCTGACCTCGGTGAGTCTGTGGAACCCACCGAATGTACACAGTGAGATGGGCATACCAGTCATGACCAGACTGCTCCGACGAAGCAGACACTCCTGCAATCTGAGCTGGCCAAGTGAACCGTGGGATGTACTGTAGCCGACAGTGGATAATTA